CTACTACTGCTGCTACTTCTTCTTCTTTTTCGATTTGCGGAAGAGAAGACGCCCCAAGGTAGCGCAGGCGGATGAAGAGTTCATCGCCAGGGAGAAGAAGCGATCGGAACAAGCCTGGCAACGCAAAGTTTCGGCTTTATTCCGGCAGGCTGACACATCTGGTGATGGCAAGATCGACATGAAAGAATTCAAGAGGCTGCTGAAGGCTCCAAAGCTTCAGCTGTGGTTGAGCCAGTTGGAGATTGAGACTACGGACCTTTGGGGTTTGTTCCAGATGCTGGACACAGGCCGAAGCCAGATTAGGGCCGGTGTCTCTGCTTCTGCTTGCACTATAAGCAAACCAGTCATCCTTGCCAGGTGATGGGGAGATCTCATTGCAGGAGTTCGAAGCCGGCACCATGCGCATCAAGGGCATGGCGCGAAGCTACGATCTTGCCCAAGTGCATAGACTGGTCGAACGGCTCAGCGTAAAAGTGGACACGATTGCAAGGCAGGCAGCCTTTTGAAAGCAGTTCTCATGTCCTCATTGCAATTTCTTGATGCGAGCCTCCTTGCTGATGGCAGGCAGCTGCCTCTGTCCAAGACAGATCGCAGCAGCTTCCGGAACTGATTGATGCTCTATTCAGCCGTAGGAGCAAGCTTTTCGGCTTGCGCTATACTATACAGTTTGAGCGTGCTCAAAATGTCGGTCTGCTGTGGGCTGAGGCTTTGCGTTTTTGCCCTGTACATGTTAGCAGCTCACCTGACTGGAATTGTTTTACAATCCGCCAGGAATTCAGACTTAAGTGTCCATGATGTAGCATCTTGAGTATTGAGCCTTGCGCCATGCAGCCCCCAGCGCCTGGGCCTCCTCTTCCTCGCCCTCCGGGACCGCCCGGTCCGGCTGCCCCACCGGGCCCTCCTGGCCCTCTTCGCCCGCCTGGACCTCCGGCACCGGGTGCAACGCCAGGTGCACCGGCTGCTCCCGGAATCCCTTCTTTGCAGCGTGGCCTTTCCTCGGTGAGCCCGGAGGACTTGCGTGCAGAAGGCGAGCTCCTGCATCAAAGGATCAATGAAGTCCTGGCTGCGCGAAGTCGCGGAGGGAGGTCAGACCTAGAAGAAAGGGTGCGAAATGAGCAGCTGGAGAAGAAGGACGAGCAAATCAGCAACTTGCAGCGGCAGCTGCATGTGGAAACAGACAGGCTGGAGCACGGCACACTTGAATGTCGAGGCCAGATTCAGGAGTATGAGTCCCAGCGTGCTGCGCTGAAGCTCCAGATCCAGCAGGCTAAGGCTCAGATTGAGACATCTGATGCAGGCAAATTGCAGGAGGAAGTTCTCCGCGCAGAGGAGCGATCGCGGCAGCTGGAAGGCCAGCTCCGGCGACTGGAGGCCAACTCGTTCCTGTCCAAGGTGGATGATCGCCGGGAGGCCAACGCTCGCATCTCTGCCTTGGAGGAAATGCTAAGGGTCAAGGTGGGCGAACATCAGACCTGTGTGGATGAGAACTTGGCCTTGGAGCAAGGCCGCGTAGCCGGCATCCAAGCAAAGCAGAGGCTTCAAGCCAGGTGTTTGGACCTGAGGCAGCGCAATGAGCAGCTGCAGGTGGAGATTGAATCGCAGACCGCAGAGATGCAGAAGGTCGAGCGGGAGATGCGGCTGATGCGCGAGCGCCTGCCGCCTGGGAATCAGGAAGCGCTGGAGGCGGCACTGTCGCAGATTGTCGGCGGAGGCGCCGCCTTTGCCAGGCTCGAACGGCCAGACCCGGCAGTGCCCTCCAAAATTGACCTCCTGGGCGCTGACTCTATGGAACGCATCGTGGAGCGATTGGGCCAGGAGCGGGATGACTTGCGGAGGCAGATCAGCATCTTGCGGGTGGAGCTGGATCGTGAGACTGCCGTTTCACAGAACTTCAAGGCTTTGCAAGCGCAGGAGTTGGAGGATGCCCGCATCAAGTCGCAGAGCTTCCTACGCGATCGTGAGAAATGGGCTAGGATCGCGGCGGCTCACCTGCAAAGCATTCAGGACTTACAGCGCCGCATCGCTGGCTTCGAGTCGGACACATTCCTGGGGCAGCCTGATGACGCTCTCAGCGTTTCTGGGTTCTCAGATGTTTCTGACTTAGAGGATTGCGAGAATGCCTTGGACGTGTTCGTGGGCATCGGTTCCATGGACTTCTCTGCAGCTCAGCGGCTCCAGGAATCTCTTCAAGCCCAGGCCCAGGGAGCCCAGGGAGCCCAGGTCGCAGAGGCTACTGGGTCCCTAGCCATGGCTTGCGCACCCGAGGAGCTGCGGACTTTGGTCAGTGTGGAATTCCTGGGTTTCGATGTGGGCTTCTCCGCGGTTGCTGCAGGTCTGCAGCCCATCTATGATTCCCTGGTCACCTTTGGCCCCTTCACAGTGACTGATGATGTGTTAGACCATCTTTCAACGGCAAAGCTGGGGGTGGAGATACATGGATCCATGCCTGGCACAAGCCAACAGCTGCTGCTTGGCCGTGGCGAGCTACCCATGGCTGGGCTTCTCCAGTATGGAACGCAGACAACACGAAACCCCGTCGCGGGGGGAGTTGTCGCTGTGAAAGATGCAGCTGATCCTGATATCCTTGTCGCCCAGTTGCGTGTGAAGATGCGCATGCGCTACTCGATGGAGGAACTTGCTGAAGACTTCAAGACTAGGGCAAAGGTTCGCCAAATGGACCGGGGCAGAGGAAAAAACTTGCGGCATGTGCATTGAATGGACGCGATGTCTACTTTGTTTGTGCACAGTGCTCCTGCGGAGTCACCACCCCAAAGGCAACTGGACTTGCGTACCTGAAGGAAATGGATTTTGGCTTAGAGCGGGCTTCGTTGCCATGGATTATCCACACCAGCGGGGAGCTCCAGCGGGTGACTGGTGTTCTGGCTTCAGGAAATTTTTCTTAGGTGTTGCAGGAGCTTGGGTGGAGGGACTCCCGATCAAATGATGTGCGAACAGGAGCCGCGCTCATCGCTTTCACCCACACGAAGCCCAGAGTTCGGGGTAGCGCTCACTCTGGCGAGCTGAAGCCTGAAGGCCCCTTCAGTGTCTGTCCTTCCTGTCGCCCAGACCCCGTGGCTTAAGCGGAGTAGTTTAGCGTCCCTTATAGCCTAATCGTAGGAATGCTGATCTGATACTGATTTCTGAGTAGGTTGACGGCGCTGAGCTCATGCCGGTCGTTGCCAAAAGGATGTAAGGCGCCGTGAAGATGAGGCAGCCGCCGCAACTTCATGAAATGTGATTGCAGCGCAAAAAAGGCCACAAAGATAATCCAGGATGCCGGCCGTGCCAGATGGACTGCAGTTCAAGAGGTCTTCTGCGACATGCAGATGCTGCAGATCAAGCCCAATGTCATCCACTACAGCGCTGCCATCACGGCGCTGTCTACACGATGGCCCCTTGCATTGGCTTTCCTGGAATTGGCGGCGCAGGAGGCAGACGTTGTGAGCTTCAATTCCATGCTCCGCGTCTATGCCAAGAGCATGTTGTGGCAGGCGGCGATGCGCATGGTATGCAACATGCAGGCCGCGCACAAGGACGTTGATGTTGTAAGCTACACCACCGCCATGAGTGCAGCTGAGAAAGCCAGCTGCTGGGCAGCTGCGCTTACCGTCCTGGAACACATGTTTACATGTGTGACCCTGCCCAATGTTGTCACCTACAGCACACTCCTGGGTGCCTGTGGCAAAGCCGGAGAGTGGGCTATGGCCTTAGCTTGCTTGGATGGCATGGTACTGCAGACCCTGCAGCCCAATTTGATCATCCAGAACTCAGCGATCACATCGTGTGACAGAGGCTTGAAGTGGCAGGCAGCTTTATCGGCAGCATCTATGCTGGGCTGCAAGTCCTTCAATGCAGATGAGGTCACATGCCGAGCTGCGATGAGTGCTTGCCAGAAGGCAGGCTTAAACATCTCAAGTGAAGGTCCCAATAGTCCTGAGTCCTGCGGAAATTTCCTTTTTGTGCTTAGCAGGTTGGCCGCTGGCGGCGTGTGCTCTCGCTGCAGCAGCGAGCAACCTTTGAAGGGAAGGCGCTTGGGGAGATAGGCAGCCGCTCGGCTGTCGATGCCTGCAGCGAGTGGCCCCTTGCTTTGGCGCTTTCAAGCACCGGGCGCCATGCAAGGCTCCACGAGCTGAATGCTTCACCCGACTCCGGCGAACAAAGTTCCATCGCCCTGAGCGCGCTGATGTCGGATGCCTTGCCGTGGCAGGCCGCCCTGTTCCTGCTGGCCGAGCTGCGCAGCAATGTTTCGCAACCGAACAAGGTTTGCATCAACTCGGCCGTTGGCATTTTTGCGCGACATCAGTGGGCCCTGGCCCTGCAAGTGACCAGAGAGGAGGAATTTCAGATTTTCAACTGGAACGCGGCCATTGCAGCATCCCAGCGAGCCACGCATTGGCAAAGAGGATGTTGGATGCTTGGTTTGCCAGGGATTGACGTGGTTGGCTTCAACTCGGCTTTGCAAGATGTGAGCAAGTGGAAACATGCCTGGTGGATCTTCGGCGAGCTGTGCACGCGTGGCCTCCAGAAGACTGTCATTAGCACCCTGGCGGCCTAAGAGTAGTTCAAGCATGCTACAAACGCACCCGAGCTGATATCTATACAAGAACAGATGAACAGGAATACTGTTAGGTGATTTATGTAGCTCTAAGGTCTCAACTCGGCGCTCACTGCCTTTGAAAAGGCAGGGCATTGGGCATTGGCACTGCTTACCTTGAGCTGCAGAAGCAGCTTAGAGCCAACTGTCGTGTCTTGCAACGCTGCCTTGAGCGCATGTGAAAAGCGCCTGTGCTGCAAGGGGAGGCTTTTCTCCCTCTTCTAACACCTCCCGTTATTTGTGTGAATCACAACGCTTGGGTTGTTCTCAAAATTATGGGCCCTTTTTGGTTATAGATTTTCTGGCACCTAATATTTAGGGGTACCAAAATGGAACCTTCATGTTGGGAACTACCCATTTTTAAAACTTACAGCATGGAATAGCAGAGCGAGAGAGCTCGAGAGAGAGAGAGAGAGGCAGTGCTACGTTATATTAGGCTTATATTGGGGTTATTTTGGATAATGGAAAACAAAATGGAAGCTTCTATAATGGGTTATATAGGGTATATGCGGTGCAGTGTGAATCCCGTGTCAGAGCCACTGGGCGACAAAAATAGAAAACAGCAAAACCTTTCCGAACAATAAAAGGCTTTGGTTTCGCTAAGGAGGGAGCGATCCCAAAATATTGGAGCATTCACATGCTGTTTGCGCAAATACACCGGGACACACGCGAATCGAAGATGTGCCAAGTTGTAAAGATGTGCAGGTACAGGTAGTCTCTGCGAGCGGAAAGTGAGTGCAATTACTTTTCCAGGTGAAGCCGGCTTGTAGCCGACCTCGAAGGCAGTTAATATGGTGACAATGTTACTCGTAAGGTATGGAAGCAGCATTCACGGATGTTTGCTCCGAACCAAGGTTTGAGTGATGGTCGTGGTAGTCGGTCACTTCAGGGGCCTGTTGTTGAGGGAGGAGCTTGAATGGGGCCGCGCTGCTTGTAGGTTACAACAGTCTCACGCCCCCATTGAGCGAATGCAGAACAATCCGAAATCAGCTGAAATCATGTGAGGTACGGTTATTCAAGGGGAGTTAAGCCTCACCAGTTGAATCGGGATCACGACGCATTTAGCCTCCCGGGTGGGACGCGAACCTCGGACTGCGTGCGGGGCTGCAAGCGTTGCTCGCGGGGACTGTGAGGAAGAAGAAGAAGAGAGAGCATATACATCCATACACTCAGTTTCATGTGTTTATATAAACACCTACCTGTACATATATGTATATACGCTGGGTTGTGTGTGTGTATATATATATATATATACATTTATATAATCATAGATGCATATATAGATATGCATAGATACATGCGTGACTATGACTGACTCAAAACATTTAACCCTGTCCGTTCATTATACGGGAAATATATTGACCGTGAGTCCTAAACCGTAAACCGTCTACTCTCAACCCTAATCCCTAAACCTTAAGCCCTAATCCCTAAACCCTAAACCCTAGACTTAGTAAACTGGAATTCTGGTTCATTCGCTCAGGTGCAGTTCCTGGATGCATGCCTTGGCGTTGCTCTCGCAGCAGGCCACCTTAGGAAGTTTCTGCTTTGATAGCTACAGTACCAGGCTACCAACATGATAGGTGTTTAGGGTTTAGAGACGTTTAGGGTCTAGGGCTTGGGGTTCAGGGTTCAGGTTGAGGAGAGCTTGGTCGCTTGCAGCCAGCAGCGCTGTATGACATGGAGTGCCCCTTCAGTCTGGCAGATCTTGAGGGAGTTCCAGATGCAAAAAAAGGTTGAGGGGATCATGGAGAATGAAACAGAACACGAAATGGAGAATGATACGGAAAGTGGGTTTCGTGGTTTAGGGACATTTGCGAATATTATGGTACCAGGTTCCCTCTACAACTCTGGCATAGGGTACCTGGTTGCATGGGGGTCCCCTATTGAGGAGTCTATGAGGTACTGTTGCGTGGTTCTAAAAGTGGCCGCTCGATATATTGCTTTTGGTATGTATATGTTGGGGTCACCCTTATCATTAAGGGGTTACTGGGCTTGAGTATCAGGGGAAGGGAATTTCTACCGTTGATAGTAAACATCCTGCATGACCCGAGTACGCTAACACGCCGAGGTTCCCGAGGTAGAAGGCAGTTACGCTCGTGCAGGCTTTTTGGCATCAACAGTAGGGAGGGAGGGAGCGCAACCCAGAGTAGTCCCTCATGTAATTCCCTCGAACAGTCACCTGAATCCATCCCAATTCCCAACTAAGCGCCAGGTGCCGTTGTCCCTGGATGTTGTGAGTCTCAGTGCAGCGGTCAGTGCGTGCGAGAAGGCACGGACTTAGAAAGGGCTCTGCCATCAGGAAGAGCTAGGCAAAGTGCAGTTTTTTGTTGGGCGCGCGTCGCTTCTTTAAGAATTATATCAGCGAATGTGACATGAGCAATAGAACGGAGCGTTTTCCACGTAGACCCTGGAGGAGTCAAGTTGGGAAATCGCCCTAACACTGCTGGGGGCCACCGCCCACTGCAATGTTCGCAGCAATGTGGTTGGTGTGAATGCAGCAACCAGTGCCTGCGCAGCTCTCCTAACACTAGCCGACCGCTACAAAAAGCTAATTAGAACTGACCATCCCTGGTTTAGGGGGGGTTAGGGTTTAGGGGATATAGTGTAGGGGATAATGGATTTTAAAATGGAAGCTACTATATTATAGGGCTTAGGGTTCAGCAGATGGATTTGGTTTCTTGCTTTCGACAGCGTGGAGAAGTTTTTCGCAAGCCTTCCGCCAGATACCTGCACCCCTGACGCGCCTAAAGCAGGGATTCCGAATGACATCCTTCTTGTAGACATTACTCATTAGCCTACACCCTAAGCTTGGCGTGAATGTGGCCAAACCCTTTACCCAAACCAAGTATATCAGGGGAGACAGGGATATTTAATCTAGGTAGGGACATATAGGTTTGATAGGGTTTGGACTAAGGTGCCCAGGCAGCCCCTGAATCCTGAGCCCTAAATCACCCTAAACCCTTAAATCCTTAAACCCCTAAGCCCTTAAATCCTCAAACCCTAAACCCTTTAACGCCAAAAACCTCAGGAAGCAGCTGGTCAGTGGATGGAGGCCTTGGAGACCTTCGCGTGTCTTCGCCGGCTCTCCCTGCAACCTGACCTACTCAGTGCCGTGTCCGAAATAAGACAGGCTTAAGGGTTTAGGGCTTAATTGGGGGTTTTGGGATTATATAGGGATATAGAGGGGTTATATAGGGATAATGGAAAAGAAAGTGGAAACTACTATTTAGGGTTTAGGGGGGGTTAGGGTATAGGGGTTTCGGGGATATGGGGGATATGTTGGGATAAGGGACAATAAAATGGAAACCACTAGATTATAGGGTTTAGGGTTCAGGATTTCGGGTTTAGGGTGTCAAGGGCTTTGTCCTGCCTGAAATTCATATGGAAGCATGTTCGTTTGGGGCAGGGTAGGGATTTGGGGAGCTGGTGTGCAGCAAGGGGGGGGTTCGTTATTGGTTTTTTGGAGGTGCATGTGGCTCAAGGATTTGTGAGCAAGGAATAAGGGAATATTTCCCTACATTGTATATGCCCTTATTCTCTACTAACCCCCAGTAAGCTTTTCAATCCTGACTATAAGGGGTTGTGTCAGCACTACAGGTTCCTCACCAGGGTTTTGAGACAAATCTGAACTGAGAGGAGCGGCAGCCACCTAGTCTCTATGAAGCAGCTTCCTCGACAGTTAATATCCCCTGATGGACGAACAGACCTTAAATCGTAGCAGGGATCCTAGTCTAATGTAGGGTATATTCTTCAAATGAGTGCGGCCCTTGCATCTCTGTGGAGCTAGCGTTCTTTAAATGCAGACAATGGCTATTCAACTTTGGAGGCTCGCCTAAGCCCTGGACCCTGAAACCCTAAAATATTGCACCCTCAAACCTGATACCCTGCATATCCCCAAAGAATACCCATATTAATACCCCCTTTAAATTTCAAGGCAACACGCAACCCCTAAGAGCCCCACAACCTGGCCGAGCTTTCTGAAAAAGGCCACTCTGCAGCTATGAGCGCGGCAGAGAAGGCCCTCAGGGGCCTTCTCAGGTTTAGGGTATGAAAAGGGGCTTAGGGTTTAGGGTCTACAGCCTACAGCCTTGAGGCTCAAGGAATTTTAGGAATGGAGGTGTCCAAAGATGTGGGTGCTGTTTTTTGGGGTCCTTTTTCATAATGTTTGAGCTTATTGGGTTGATCTTGGGGTGCTGAGGGTTTAGGGTTTTTTGGCAGAGAGAGTTGTGGTTTGCTTATTTAGAATACTAGCAAATCACATGCAAAAGAGAACGAATGGAAGCTGGGTGTAAACAGGGATTATGGGGATTGCGGAGGGGGGGGGGGCCTAAACAAGTAGAATAGGCTGCTTATCTTGTAGTTATACAGAAAGGATTATGCGAGCATAGTGTTGGTAATTCCTCAGACACCTACAACTCAGTCTAGGGCTGTCGCCAGCTTTTACCCTAGGTTTATTTTCATCATTTCCACGCGCCCCACAAGGAGGTCCTGTATCTAGTTGCACCTTTAATCTTAGCTGGGATGTGTGAGGGCAGGGAGCTCTCAACTAGAGCCACCCATCTTCACGGACTGCGTGCCATGCGCTCCCAAGCAGAGGAACCACTTGTAACCTGTAATCATTTGTAGGTGCCCATACACAGAACTGCAGTCTGTATTTTTCTAAACGCCTGCCCGCCCCCAACCTAACATGGAAGCAGTAAAAAGGCCCGTGAAAGATTAGGCTTCCTTTTTCATAAAAGGATGCCTCAATAGGTTACCATGTTAGTTTGGGGGCCGACACTTGGCCTCTGTAAACCCTAAACCGTGCGTGGTAAGTCACCCAGCAAGCCGATGTGATGTGCCAATATATGTGTTTGTTTAGGGATTCCTTTCTGAGGGTGGGGTTTAGGGTTTAGGGGGTTTGGGGTTTAGGTGGCCTAA